CCCCTAATAATAGAAGGATGAATTTTAAAACGGACACAGACAATTGTGCTCATGTCTATCGCAATTTAATTCTCACGCACAAAAACCAATAACGTAGGTGTCATGTGTTTATGTGTTCATGTTAATGTTCGTCGGTCCGCCACCAGTACTTCGTCCGACAATAACAATGCTATGCCGTGCTTTTCTACATACAGATTCTCTCCGTCCTACTGTCCACCACTTCATGTATTGTTGTTTGTATATTTTTTGTTTACATTTACGGTATTTCGACTTGCTTAAATTCTCTTGTTTATGTTTAAGTGTTCTTTGAGCTTTTGTTAATATTTTTCTGCACATAGAATTAGTCGATTGGAAAAACTCAATAATGTAAGTTGCGTTTTTGATGTAAGTTTTTTGTAATTTGACGTAAATATGTATGCATTTGGTCTTTTTCAGTCCTGAAGATGCCTTCAGATTGAAGGCGAAATATCGACAGCAATAAATGTAATAAATAAAACCGCCAAAATATATGTTTTATTTAACAACCGGCCTGGAGCTCAAAATTAACGAATAAATTACTGTTTAATATGTAAGCAGCGTTCTAATGCATCCAAACATTCGCAAAAATTCATATTAAATCGCATTCATCGCTGCATTACTGGTAATGAAAAATTAAATGCCCTACTTTTCCTAGGACATCGACGCATAGTGCGGCCGAATTCCAAAAGTGCGACCAAAATTCGAGAAAATAACGTTTCCTCCATGTAATAATTTCGAGCTTTTTAATTAGATTTCACAGAAAGATGTTGAGTATGCAATTTTGTGGTCCATTTAATTTAAGTATAATAAAGTGCAAGTTTAAAGAAGCTTATGCTTGATTTTTCGATTTTTTTTTTTGCTGACGGTGTTGCTTATTTTCTTCATATCATCGAACATGCTTCGTATGGAAGAAAACTGGCACTGCCAACAAAAACAAAATTCTCAAAAATCAACGGTAAGTCCTAGCTACCTCAAACTTGCACTAAAATTGACTGGGCTATAAAACTGCATACTCAAAACCTTTCTAAGAATTCTAATTAAAAAGCCCGAAATTTAGCGTCCTCGAAAGCCCCCTAGTACGAAATTTTGAATCAGTTCTTTAAACCTTAGAATTTTGGCCGCACTTTAGAATTGCGGCCGCACTGTGCAACGTGGGAAAAATAATGCATTTTCGAACGTGAAAACGGCTGTTTCACTGATTATTTTTTCGATTACTATACATTACATTTTCCCACTGGGTAGTTATATAAACATATACATACATACATACAAATATGTTTTCAGAGGACATGTTAAGCGAATTTTCGTAAAGGAAAGTTAATGTATTGTAGTATTTACATGTTATACAAGATACACTATAATTACACTGTGAGACAAATGGTAGGGGTCAGTGATCAGGAAGTGTTCATGATGTGTAGCATCTCTAGCGTATAACGTTTATTGTAATTTTTCTCTTCCTGTAAGATTGCTACATTGTCAAAATCGGGATAATGTCCCATATTTTGGCAGTGAGATGTTAAGGCTGTCTTATTGTCCATAGGGTTATTCCTTAATTTTATGTTGGATTTATGAGCGGAAATCCTTGTCTTCAATTTAGATTTGGTTGTCCCCACATATACCATATCGCATACGTGGGACCCGTCACCATTGCATGGTATTCTGTAGATTACGTCAGATTTCTCATTTTTAGGAACTTTGTCTTTGGTGTTCGTGTATATTTGTTTTAAAGTATTATCATACGTGAACGCTATGTGAAATTTCTCTCTGTCAAACATTTTAGATTGCTTAATCCTCTCTGATAATCCTGGAACATATGTTGCCGATGTATAAATAAAACCGCCAAAATATATGTTTTATTTAACAACCGGCCTGGAGCTCAAAATTAACGAATAAATTATAATAAAAACGGCCAAAATCAAAAAACTAATCATTAAACAGTAATAGAATCTAGAACTCATAAGAAACACATTACATTATTTATCACGCACGTAACGCTTTACTACTTTTCCCGTCGGGTATTTTTTAAGTATACTTAATACTCATATGCAAATAAATTATGATATATGAAAATTAAAATTAAAATAGCACATTTAAAAATATTAAACATCATAGAAGCTGTAAATATTCAAAAATTTAAGTGTTGCAGCGCATCAATTTGTGGCCGATGGAATGCAATATTTTTTCAAAATCATTTTAGATCTACATACATACTTATGTATCTACATGTAGACAAAAAAAATCATTCGTAGTCATTAGTTTTGCAAACTAAGCAAATCTATTTCATCACTCATTTGTAGACAACTAACTCATTCACACATACTGCACCGAGATCCAACACTTCGATATGAATTTCAGATGAATTTTAGAAAATGGAAAAAATGCCGTGTGAAGTTTTTGTGAAAAGTCATAAATATTACGCCAAAACATCGCCCTCAGAGTGCCAAATCTCGACATCACATCATTCATTTTCTATATTTATTCTTATGTTTTCTAAAGTAAATCTGAAATATCTCCTCATTTAATTCATATTTGGCTGTACATATGTATGTGTATTAACCCTATGCCTAGCAGTGCCTCATTTTCTATTATTAAATAATTTTCCTGATTATGTTTGTTAAAACTCTTTATTGTTATTTGTGCGCGTCAATTTATTAACAAATCTAAATATTAACTTTGCAAATCGCAAATGTTTTACCTAGAATATGTATGATTTTTTTCACTCGGAGACATTTTTTTCTAATCAGTATCATTATTGTTGTTGTTTAGGTTTGAACAAATCGGCGCGTACTTTTAAATTATTTGAAATTAATCTCGATACATGATTGGTTACGCTGAAAGTGAGCTTTCAGTAACATAATTAAAAAAAAAAAACTTGCAAAGACATTAGAAACGTTATTTTATCAAAACGAGAAGAAGAAGAAAAATGTTGCGTTCGATTGGCCGTCAAAGCGCTTATTTTATTGGACATACAAAAGGCCGGCCATTAACTGCTCGGTCCGCACTTGTGCGTAACACGCTGAGTGACGAGCTTAGATTCGGGTCCGCAGGTCAGCAACAGTGTCGTCACTGCGCCACCAGCCACAAGGTGGGGCAATTCGAAAGTGCTACAACAAAAGATATTTCGCATAGAAAAAAGAACAGCCACACAATCAACAGCAATAATGAGACTGATGATGAAGCATCTCTGCTAGCACAACAACTGGCACAGGTTAGCTTTAGTACTTGCTAAATAATTGCTTTTGATTTGCTTAAAAAATGTGTGGTATTTTATTATATTTGCAGATCGATGAAGAGGTTGCACACTTGTTGGCCTTGAAGGCGAAACTCGGCGATGGTCCAGCAACGCCACAAAAGTTTACGCTTAAAACGCCTAAGGGCACGCGTGATTATTCGCCCCAGCAGATGATGTTGCGTCAAGGTGTGCTGGATAAGATCATTGCTGTTTTCAAGAAGCATGGTGGCGAAGCGATTGATACCCCGGTCTTTGAGCTGAAGGTGTGTAGAAAGGCTTATGTTAAAAATTACAAAAATTAAAAAAATCCTCATAACCTATTTCCTTTAATTACTTTTAGGAGGTACTCACGGGCAAATATGGCGAAGATTCAAAACTGATCTACGATCTCAAAGATCAAGGTGGCGAAATTTTATCGCTGCGCTATGATTTAACTGTTCCACTGGCACGTTACCTAGCGATGAGCAAAATATCCACTCTAAAGCGTTACCACATCGCCAAAGTGTATCGACGTGATAATCCCGCTATGACACGTGGCCGTTATCGTGAGTTCTATCAGTGCGATTTCGATATTGCCGGCACATTTGATCACATGCTGCCCGATGCCGAGTGCGTAAAAATTGTTGCGGAAGTGCTGGACGCACTAGACATTGGTGAATATGTGATTAAAATCAATCACAGACAATTGTTGGATGGCATGTTTGAGGCTTGTGGAGTGCCCGCCGATAAGTTTCGCACCATTTGCTCGGCTGTTGATAAATTAGACAAGGTAATATGGCTCACGGTAGTGACATTTAATATGTTTATATGTATTTTCATTAAATTTCCTTCGCTTTAAATACTAGTCTCCCTGGGCTGATGTGCGTAAGGAGATGATCGAAGAAAAGGGGCTGGATCCAGCTGCTGCGGATAAAATCGGTGAATATGTGCGCCTCAGTGGTGGATCTGAGCTTTGCGAACAATTGCTTGCTGACGAAAAATTGAAAGCAGTACCCAGCGCGGTTAAAGGTTTAGAGGGTATGCAGCTTTTGCTCAAGTACAGCGCTGCCATGGGGCTGTCGGGGAAAATAAGCTTCGACTTAAGCCTTGCACGTGGACTTGACTACTATACAGGCGTAATTTATGAATGTGTGCTACAAGCTGAGCCGAAGATAGTGCAAAACGGCGCTGACGGTGCAGAGGAGCAAGGTGCGGTTGGCTCTGTTGCTGGCGGTGGTCGCTACGACAATCTGGTCGGTATGTTTGATGCAAGGGGCAAACAGGTTCCTTGTGTGGGTGTCTCTATTGGTGTGGAACGTATTTTTTCTGTATTGGAAGCCAAAAATGCTGCAGCCGGTGTAAAGACGCGAACCAACGAGGTGGAAGTCTATGTGGCTTCTGCTCATAAAGGTTTACATGAAAAGCGTTTGTCCATCTTGAACACCCTGTGGGAGCAGGGAATTAAGGCGAGTATTAAATTTTTAGTGGTATTTGAACCTCAATATGATGTTTTTTTTTTTTCTATTTATAGGCTGAGCACTCATACAAACTGAATCCAAAGTTACTGGCGCAACTACAATACTGTGAGGAGAATCAAATACCATTGGCCGTTGTGTTTGGCGATTCAGAATTAACGAAAGGCATTGTGAAGCTACGTGAAGTGAATACGCGGAAGGAGGAGGACGTACCATTGACGGAGTTGGGAGATGAGATAAAGAAACGTTTACGTAATTAAATAGTATTGGCTATTCGCGTGATTAGTATACGGCAGGCTTACAATAGATTCAATTATTTATTTATCACAAAGTGAAATTCTAAAATAATTAAAATCTATGAAATAACAACCAATGTGAAAAAGAAACTTATCCAAAAAAACGATGCTAAAATAAATAGTTATACAAAAACGCATTTACTGGGCACAACAACAGAAAAATTGTTTTTTGTTTGTACTTTAGCTTAAAGCTAGAAATTACATTTATAATTTAAAAATTACTTTAAGTAAGATCACTCTCCACTGCTAGTTAAGGTATTGTAAACCTTTTTAACATCTTAAAGCGAACAACAAACAAAATAACAAAACGTTCAATGCATTTTTTTCAAATTGTCAACTTTCATTGTTCCTTTATTGCAGCTTAACATAATTAAAATATTTATAAAGCATTAACTATATTGTTAATCATATAAGAAACAATGCCGGAATATTTAAACGCAATGACGGGTCGTTTTAAGAATTCTAATGCCAGTGGTGGCATCACAACTGTGACTCCGCCAGCTCCTTACGATGCTAGCACAATCATCTATGAATCCATGCAACAAACACAACAATACCAGCCACAATATCAACAACTAGAATTGCAGCCACCAAATCTGGGTAATGTTATGCCTAATGCGAATACATACGACTACATGGGCTATGCACCCGTTTCGGCACCGGTAGTACCGCCGCCACAAGCGGTCAATGAGCACGAAATTGAGTTTCTCAATTGTCGGCCTAGGCGTTACAAACGCACCAAACGTACATATACGAAAAGAAAAAATAAAACTACAACTAAACAACAAAATAATGAGAAAACAACAACAGCAGCAACAACAGAAAATACTAAAGCTATGCAAATGCCCGCTATCAACAATCCGCCAAACGTACAAATGAGCTTTAAGGTAGGTGGAAATACATATACTACATATGTACATATAAATATTCTGTTTGAGCTGCCTTTAATTGTATGTGTCCACGAGAAAAGAAAGGGCCATTTTTGCCAGTATTGTGCCTTTTTTACCTAACCAGAGTGTGACATTTTAAGAAACGAACACAAAATTTTCTCACCCTTTGCTTTTAATTTAGAATTGAACACGAGAAGAGAAAGCGGCAATCAAAAGGCTACATTTTTTGGTAGACACGAAATCACTAGGTTAGGTTAGGTTGAAGCGGTTGCCTGCATTTTGCAACTTACATCGTAAGGCGTCGTCGCTTTTTGGTCTCACATTTTTTTCTCATAATTTTTAGCAAGCACATTTTCAAGTAAATTTTTGATAAACAATGAGAACAAATTGATGGCTGAGTGGAAGATCGACCTATCTCGGCAGCCAGTTCAAAAACGCCATATCTCAGAAAACTTTTCAAGAACGCCGTACTTCAGAACTTGATTGAAAACGCCCTACTTCAGAATTTTATTGAAAAACACCCTATCTCAGAATTTGGTTGAATAACGTCCTATCTCAGAATTCGGTTCAAAAACGCCCTATCTCAAACGAAAATACATTGAAAATAAGCTGAGACAGGGCAATTTTTAATCGGCAGCTGCGAGATGGCGTTCTTCAACTACATTCCGGAATAGGGCGTTTTTCAATCAAATTCTGAAGTAGGGCGTTCTTAAAAAGTTTTCTGAGATAGAGCATTGTTCAAAAATTTTCTGAGATAGGGCGATTTTGAATCGGCAGCTGAGATAGGTCGATCTTCCCCTCAGCCATCGAAATGATAAATACCTTCGCGTGAATAATCCATGGCACTTAAAGAATTGATTACAGTTGAAAAAAAAAATCACTTGCTTCTATGGGTTCAGCGCCAAACGCGGCTAAACTGTTCAGTCGATATCGCGCCGATTTTAGTGTGTTCCGTTCGTAGAGGGGGGTGAGTAAGTGATGAGATGTATGTATGTTGTATTTATGACATTTGATATTCCCTTTCTAAGCCCAACAGGTTTTTATTTTATCATTTTTCAGCATGAGTTTTTGCCACCTGCCTCCATATAGTCGAAACACTGTGCGTCGTTGCGCTTTTTAACAGCCTTATTCTGTATCACGAACGATAGGCAACACGAACGATTCGTCTGCAGAGGAATGCTTCAAAAATTAGTCCAGCGGCATCATTTTAACCTGTTTAAACGCTACCGAGAACATTGCAACTTAATAAAAGTTTAAAATCGCAATCAGAGAGGTTGTCGTCTGCAGATGAATCGTTCGTTTTACCTATCGTTCGTGATACAAAATAAGGCCCTAAATAACACATTTTTTTGTCATTTCAATGCTTTGTGAAAATTCGGCATTACTTACCATTTATTGGTCATCTCCTTCTTATTTGGCGCTGTAACCGGCTAAACGATTTTGCCGAGTTCAGCAAAGCACGCCAGTCGTTTCTCTTCTGTGCTAACTGACGCTAATTGGAAATGGGGCTCGGGTGCACCTTCTCCACTACTTTCAGTGCTGCTACCTAGGGTCAGTAGGGTCGAAAAGTGTTTCCTCCATTATTTAAGTACGTTCTGGACATCGAATACACAAGGTCCCCATGGCTGTTCTTACAGGAGTTCGCCCTGGCCTTGAAACCTTCCGTAAGTCGCCCAGCACTCTGGTAAAATTTTCGGCCGTTTTTCCTGTCGGCCAGTATTTGAAGCTCTTCGTTCTCCCGTTATTCAGCCTCTTTCTTATTGCGGCAAATACGTGCCGTTTCCCTCTTTAGTTCCCTATAGCAGTCCTACAAAGCTCCCGTTGTCTTTTTTCTCTGCAGCTTCTTGACATTCCTCATCGTACCAGTTGTTCCTTCGGGCTCGCTGAAATCCGACCACTGCTCGCATATGTCGGCATGTTGAAAACTGCTCTCTGAAATCAGGTATGAGATTCGAGTGGCGAATGCATTGACCGTCTCTTGTGGTTGCAGCTTTTCGAACTTATGCTTTCCTTGTATTGTTAGGCGGACGTTTTTTGCTGTACAAAGGCGGGTGCGTATCTTGACTGCAACAAAAAAGTAGTCCATGTCGATGTTTGGCCCTCGGAGTGTACGTACATATGTAGGTCTAAAACACCGAAAGTGTGTAGTCCGCCTATCACAACATTATCGATTTGGTTTCTCGTTTTTCGAAAGTATCTTGATGGATTTTTCTATGCATATGCCTCGAAGTGCATACTACCATGTTTCGGGCCCGGCGAAGTCCATCAGTCTCAGTCCGTTATCGGACGTTTCGTAGAGGAGGCTGAATTTTCCGACAATGTCGCCAAGAAACCCTTCCTTGGCCACTTTGATGATGAGCGAGATGCGGGTTGTGGCTAGAAGTTCGTCCACCGGGGTTAACGACAGTACTCGGCGACGTTCCCACGACAGTCGGGTCTACGTAACCGGAACGACCCAGATTTATATCTGGCCAAGGACTGTCACTCCAGCAACACTCCCCAAAATGTCTTTGGGGAATTTGTATGCTGCTACAACAACAACAACAGTACTCGGCGACGGAGTCTCTCTCCCATCACAAATCTAACACCGAATTTGCGCTCCTTTACATGGCAGCTGTAGTAGACGTCCAATGCATTTTTTGGATGGCCGTGATGTCAGCATTTGTCTCTACGAGGTTACATACATATATGCCCTGCATGCCCTTTTTCAGAGTATTCTGAATTGTAGAACAATTTTAAAAAATTCGTAAACATCTAACTTTTTGTCAAATTTTCTAAAATTAAATAAATTGTGCACGCTCCGATTCTTTACGAAATTTCGGCAGAGAATCGGTAAAGCAATGAAAATAATGCTGCTATGCGAAAAATTTTTTCGCAGAATGTTTTCAGAAATTTCTTTATCTTTCGTACAGAAATTTCTTTACGAGTTCGTATAATTTTCATTGAAGATTCGTAAAAAAAAACGTTACAGAAATGAGATACTCCTAAAGATTTCGTTAAGATTTCGGGAACTTTGATTGGCAGGGTATGTATCTGAAACCCTTCGACATTCGCCCCTTTCATACTTAAAAAAAATGAACGAATTAGTTTTATTTGACTTTGTGCTTAAAAATCAACCCTACCCAAGCGACGACGCTGCAAATGCTCACCACAGCACTGACAACAGTGGTTAGCGTAAGTTAATTTCGCATACAAACTAAAAATATAAAGCGAAGGGATGGGATGTAGTTGTACTAAAAAATGTAAACAGTTGTGTAAATAGGATTAAGAAGTGTTTTGTCTTTCAACGAGAACGCCGCAAACGCAGTGCCTGCAAATAAACACTTTTTTTCATTTGGATGCTCGAACATTTTGGATGCACAAACATTCGAATCTTTGTTATAATGCCTTTAATAATGCATTCACGGCGATTTCTACCCAAATATTTTCTTTTTATATTTCAGAGTCTTGCTTGTCGAATGTAGTAGTCTAATTTGGTTGATGGCATTGAATTCTAAATTTTTAAAATTTTTAAATTCTATAATACAAAAAATTTTATTTATGGCTGCGTTTCTTTATACATTCCGGATAATCCAATTTCACAGCCGGAATAAACAGAATGCGTTTGAGATATACGTTATAATATCATCAGGAATGTTCTAAAGAATAAGTAAACAAAAAAGTTTATTCCAAACGCTCAGAATGAATAAAGAAATGCAGCCTATGACTAACGTTACTGAAATTGAAAACAAGTAATTGTTAATCGAAAAACAGAACCGACTTCAATTCTCATGCAAAAATTTAAGAGTACCGTTAATTTCTTCATGATACAATAATCGGATCTAAACCAAATTAGTATAGGACCACCTCTGAAGTACCACCTTTCATTTAAAAGAAGATTTATGGAAATGGGTTAACGATATACAAACTTACGCTAGCTCAGTATAAAACAAAGCATAATCATCTCATAGTTTTCTACCGCTTAAATGTGAGCGTCACTGATTCGGCACAGACGGTCCACAGTTTCTTTTGTGATCGGTAGCGATAAAATCCCATATGACCTTTTGCCGCTTGAAGCCCATTCGTCGTAAATTCTTGAAATCCTGGTTGATTCGATTATTTTAGAATTCGTCTTTTTTCCGTTGGTGTTGTTGCGGCTTTTTTCTTTTTGATTGATGTTCGATGCGCTCTGGCACCTGTTGGATGAGGTGGTCGACTGCTTCATTGAGATCATTAAAGCTGGCAATTAGAGTGCATCGAACATCATTCTCATTGTAGCCCATTACTACTATCTGCCGCGCTACGGACTCATCGCATTCCTTCTCTTTTAGTAAAGGCAGCTTTAGGTTGACTTCTCTGTTGTGTAGTTCCAAGATATTCTTCAAGCCTTTTAGGAAAAAAGTTACTAAGGATAAATGGTCAGTAAGAGGAAAGTAGCGGTTAAGATTTACCTACCTTCGGTAAGAATACGACCTTAGTCTCTGCTCATATGCTGAGATATATTGTAATTTTGAGAGTACTGAGGCTACTCATTCTTCATATTTAATGGTTTAGAAATTTGCGATACCTCTTTGCAATTTTTATGCAAAATTAAAAAAATAACAATTATTTTTGATTTTTATATTATATGTCTTAGATAACAGTTATTGAAGACTTTTATTTATAAAAGTCATCAATAAAAATCAGTCAATGACTTGTACTTTTAAAAGTCATCAATTCTACGTACAAAATAAAGGGGCGTCCCATGAGGTGGAGATTTTAAGGTCCACTTTACTGGACAGTGAATAAGAAGAAAAGACAGGAAAAAGGAAACTTTCTTAAGTATTGAATCCACCAGAGGGTCCTTAAAACAGCAATCTATGCCAAATATAAACTACTGCTGGCTCTTAGGTTTTCCACGTCACATTCTACCCCCTTCAGCGCTTGTATGCAGCTGACTGCGCAGTTATTGAGTGCGTTGATTTGGATAAATTTCTAAATGAATTTATTGCGCTTGAATGCATTCGCTTGAACTAAAACAGTCGAACAGTTGGAGTTCAAAGTCAAAATGACGTAACAGAGTTTGCTGAGAAATCCACAATTCGATAAATGCAATCCATCTGAGCGCGATGCTGACTGGATTCGTTGCGCAACTGCAGTTGACAGCTTTCGTTTAGCGGCGTCCACCATCATCTTTTCTCCCCTCTCAGCACATTCTCTTTGCTCACAACAACTCTCTGTTCAATATTCATTGCTAAATTCAAATTTAATATTAATCTTCCACTTTTTTGCAGTTTTTCCTCTCCTGCCCTTTTTTACTTCATTTAGTACGGGTTTTGCCTTTCGTTACGTCGCTTTTTTACATACATATTTTTATGTCTTATGCTTCATTTGCTTTGGAATAAAAAGACTACTCCAGTTTCCAATGCTCAGATTTTGTGTATGACTTCAATTAGGGGTTGGATAGCTTCCTGCGCACGATTACGTATGGTACGAGCTGTGATTTCCTAAGAGGGATACTTTCAGTGCATATGAGTTTTACCTTTGTATAACCATTAAAATATACACTCACGGCGAAAAGTATTGGCACAGATTATTTTTACAATATATGCAAAAATTTTTATTTTGATTTTTTCCCCCTAACTTTTTCTAAAAATATGGTTCGCACTATAACAAAAAACATAAAAATATAATTTTCAAACTTTGTGCATAATTCTATGAACTTTCAAGCTAGTTTTCAACTTTTTATTATTTTTTTTGAGTTTGCAGTTTTGTAGCTCATTAAATTTTAGTATAATAAAATGCAAGTTCGAAATTGCTAAAATATCGCGCTGATTTTTGATATTTTTTTTTGTTAAAAATGTTTCGCATTATTTACATGCAAAGCATTTTCGAAATTGTTTTTTGTAGGAAAGTAAATGTGTCAAAACAAAATTGCCAAAAATCCACGGTAATTTCTAGCTTAAAGCTGATTAAAAAGTTGAAAATTTGCATGAAGATTTATTGAAATTGTCTGAGTTTTGCACAAAGTTTACAAATTATATTTTAATGTTTTTTGTTGTAATATGAACTATATATGTTTTGATAAAAAATTAGCGGAAAAATTAAAAATTGTTGCATAACTATATATATTGTGAAAAATTTTCTGTGTCGATACTTTTTGCCGTAAGTGTATGAATTTCTGCGTATCGAAGCATAATATTAATAATATTTATTTATAATGCATTACATACGGTGGCGGTTGCTGGATTGTTTGTCAACGCTCTGCTCTTTGTTGCTCTAACAAGAATAGTTTTGGTAGACGATTCCTATTTATGGATTAATGAGGTGGCGAAGCTGCAGTGAAGGTTGTTTAAATGTTGTAAGCTATGTAGCATCCAAGCGTGGGAAGCGTGTGCTGGTGGTAGTTAGTGATTACACATCTGCACCCAGTATTTTTCATACGAATGTTTTTCTCACCGCAATGCTTTGTCGAAGTTATGGTATTTTATATCAAAAGTAGATTAAGTTATAAATTTAGGATTTGTCAAGCTTATGGTGTGCTAAACCTGATTACCGGACACCTAAGTGACCAAACTCACGTGTCGACTTGATGATTAATCTAGTAAAGAAAGCTTTAATTGCACACTGATTGTCATTGCTTCGTATCGTCGAAAACTCCCCGTTTCTTGTCTTTTTCGCACATATGTACATATGTATGTGTTGGGAGAACTTACTGAACTTGCTTATGGAATTCTGCCAGCGCAAGGCATGACTGTACTATAACCTCTTGAAAAGTCCTCTATATTATGAATAAGTATGAGAAACACTTTAGTACTCTTCTGACAGTTGAATTTTGTTATTTATTATTTAGTTTAAATTTTCATGTTCGAACTTGTTTGCTTATTTTAGCAATGTAGTAATAAGTATGTAATATTTTGAGTTATTTTGTCGAATATGAAGTTGCGATTTCTGAGAAAACGGTTTTTGTTGTAGGTAATCTTGTTACTGTAAGTACTGAACTGGTTACCGTTTGGACGTGACAACTCAATAAAGAGAGAAACAAATGGTTGTTTACAATTTGCTTGCTGCAAAGGTGGCTCCTTTTAACTTTTCAGTAGGAAACAAAAAATACAATTTATCCCAAGGCGAATTCATATTAGGCGATAGCAGAGGTACAGAAAAATTTTGCGCACAATGGCGGTCAGAATTAAAACAATGATGTATTTGACATTAAGAACCACCGAGGCGAAAAGCCAGCTGCTCTGGTAACATCTTCTTTTATGAATTCGCAATGTTTTATTCTTTTTGTGTAAAAACTATCTGGTATTGTTTCTTTTAAATAATCTATCAACTTCTACCATTTTTTGTATGTAAAATCTACCAATATTAATTTTTTTAAGTCCGAGCACTGCTCATGGCTCCAGTTCTACAAAACGAAAACAAAATTTGAGGTCTACCAAGGTGTAGAGTTTGTGCTACATATGCCCTACACGCCTCTCTTTTCAGTCTTTTGCCACTCTTTTGTTTCTTTCACCGCTTACCTGAGCTCTAACATACGTATATACTAGGGATGTTAATCCCTTTTCTGTGTGCCGAAAATCCCGGGATTATTTGCCAAGAATCCCGGGATTTTCGGGATTTGTAATTTGCAATGGGGGCAATAATAGAAACGCCTTATGTTGACCAGTTTTTGCTAAATTTCTTTTGTTTATTTAATATTTAATATTTTTTTTATAAATGTCTAGCTAATTACATTCACACCACACCATACGACAGGCAATTTTACACACAGAAAAAAAATCAATATATTCGCGAAGTCATGGGACAGCAGTAAAATTGCGTTCTTAGTTTTTCTCTCCGACGTCACGAGTAATTCAGAAAATGGTTTAAAAAATTTAGTGCAATGTACTTAGGAAAACAGTATGGGTATAAAATTAAAGAGAAAATTCTGTAGAGAAAGAAAAAGGTTAAATTTTTTGCTGCGTAAGGTATTGAAAATGTTTTGCAATATTTATTTGGAAAAAATTATATGTTAAGGACTACTATAAACTCGACAACGTCCTCGAATATAACCCTTCTAACTTCATTAGCTTAAAAAAAATAAATTGATTAAAAGGGCATTTTCAATACATACCTATTCGTCCTTGGGCATTCAAAAAATTTTAATATTTTTAAATCCTACAGAATTTTTTCTTTCATTTTGTACCCATTTTTATTCTACATTGCACTGAATTTTTTAAATAATTTTTAGAATTCATCATATCTTTGAAATTATAAAGTTCTAATACAAAAAATCTAAAACTAGAAATGCAGTATATTGATTGCTTGGTGACTAAAAGTAACGTTGATTTTTTATACGTTTTTCAAAGTAAGTTCGACAATTTGTTTATATGGAAGATAATGCCCAGCATGGTTTAAAAAATTCCCAAAAATCAAAGGTATTTTGTAAATGCATGAAACTTGCATTTTATGCTACTTTAATTTAATGGGCGTACCTCAAATTTTACGAAAAATGCTGAAATTTTTGCATTTGTTTTTGAATTTTTATAATTTTTGTACAAATTTTGAAATGCGCATTTAAATGCGGTTAATTATATGTAAAATGAGGTAGACTTTTATAAAAAATTTAACTATTGAATAAACAAAGGAAATTGAGACTAAACTGGTTGAAATAAGGCGTTTTTTTCTGCCACTAGTATAATGAACTTCTTACAGCCACACAATACATATCGCACGTCGTCTTCAAAAGAGTCACAACTCAAAATTTGGCATTTTTGAGATTATGGGCTAAAAATGTACGCAGAGCTTTTCATTACCTTTTAGCAAACGCAGGAGTAAATTTTTGTTATAATCTGTTAAAACAACCTAAGTTAAAGTCGCCCTTGCCCATATGATTAGCATGTGCTACGAAGTAGTTTTTCGCATTTTCTGACGAACGTATTATTTTGAGTTGTGACTCTTTTGAAGACGGTGTGCGATATGTTGACTTCAGTTTTTTTTTCATCGAGCTTTTTTCGACATGCCGTAAGTTACTTTGTCAGATATGTACACGCTAAAGTGCATATAAATTTAATTACTGCCTTTTGCTTTGTTACTAATCAAATATTTTTCAACTTAAATAATAAAGTAGGTTTCGAACCCATTATTTATTATATGATAGGAGAGCTTCTCAAACTACATTGATGCAATTTTTTCATGTAAATCTGTTGGAAAATAATGAATATCTAAATCCCGGATCTAATGCCGGGATCCCAGGATTGTATGAGCGATGTCCCGAAAATCCCGGGATTGCAAAACTCGAAAACATTAACATCCCTGCTAGGTACATATATACGCACATCAAACGACTACGTCGCAAATAAATATAATAAATGTAAGCTCACAAAAACGATTCTCTTAGTTGTTCGGTGACCTCAAAGCAAGAAGTACTCGTAATTACAAAAGAAAATATTACGATGACATTTTAGCAATTATTTAAAACAAATACATAAATATCTGTTACTTTTAAGTAATATTGAAAATGCCGCGCAAACGTATCGAAATTGGACGTACAACTGCTAGCGCTCGAAAGCATAAAGCAAAAAGAGCAGCAGAGACACAAGAACAAAGGAAAGCAAGATTGGATGCCGAGCGAGTGCGTACAGCTCTAGCGCGTTCGTCTGAGACAGAGGAGCAGCGGCAAGAAAGGCTGGAAAAGGCTCGACTACGAGCAGCTGAAAGACGTGCATATGAAAGAACAGATCAGCGAGAAAAAAGACTGCAATCCAGTCGAATAAGGATGGCGCTCTCCCGGGCCGCTAAAACAGAGACGCTGCAACAAAAACCGGTAAAAACAGCTCGAAAACGCGCGACTCAGGCACGATCTCCTGCAACAGAGAAGCAGCAGGAAAAAAGACAGCAAACCAATCGACGATTAAGAACAACTCCAGCCAAATCTTCTAAAAGGAAGTAATTTTCACAATCTTGTTGGTTATGACTTTTAAAATTATTACAGAAATACATAACTTAAATAAAACTTTGATTACATTTAGTAACTGTTTTATTTCCTTTTCTTATTAACGCTAAATCAATATGCAAACGACTGTAAGGTTCTTCAAGGTTTGAAGACCAAAGTTGAAGTGTATTAATAGGAGATCAAAAATAAAATATAATAATATGAATTTAAAAATTTTATACTGTGCTATTGTCCGGAGGTGGAATGATTCCAAATCAACTTAAAAGTACCAGACCTATACTACTCGTATAATAAAACCTCCAAAGCTTTTCGCGCCTTCAAGTCAAATTTTGTATGACCTGATTATTTTGTACGAAAGGATTATGTTGGCAATTATTTTTGAAAAACCTGATACATATTATACTTTGCACGTCGCTAGAAATTAAAACGCTCTTAGGGCCGATTACTCAATGTCTGGTTAATACTAATTGCAGGTTAAACGTCGTTATCGACGTGATCGACTCAACAACATATAACAGGGATACATTGAGAAACCTGCCCATAGTGTACACTATACATATATATGTATAGTTAAAATCGCTACAGCTAAATAAAAATAAGAAGAAGTCAAACGATTGTTAACTTAGGCCGGCTGTTTATTGTCTGGTTAACACAAATCGAGGTAGACGCTCGGCAACGATTGCTTTATCAATCACATGTTATATGCATGATGTCGAAATCCTCGATAATTATGTTTAACCGGGAGGTAGTGATAGCCAAACATAGAAAAATCGGTCCTTAGGACCGTTTTAACCATCTCTGATTAACACTTATCTCCGGTTAAACACCGTTATCGACGTTACTGACTCCCTGTTATATGGACGGAGTCGAACAAGGGGAAAAATTTTAAACATTTTAACCAGTAAATATGTGCATATTTAGCTGTTTTTCTTTGATTGATCAATGTCTGGTAAACACCCTAAGTGCCGTTTTCACAATCTCTTTTTAAGACTAATCCGTAGTTACTCTTTGTTAAGAATGAGAGAGGCATCTACGTGTTAGGATGAAAAATCGTTTCACTGAGAACCGCGATTGTTAATTCAAAGCCAAAATAAAGCTGAATCATTTCAACTTCCACATCGTTTATCATTAGGGTGAACTGTCCAATTTATTAATTTTCTGTGCAAGAAAAGTTCGTGTCTTAAGTCTTTCATTAACTTTATTTGCATAGTTAAGCTTCAGTTCATTTTTGATTAAGTTTAATATTCAAACATTTTAAATTAATGAAACGCTATAAGAAACATTTGGTTCCGCTTCCTTACTTCGCGAATAGTTCAGAGAAGATTTGTTCCCGTTTCGTTCCCTGTCCGAAAGTTCCTGTGACTTTAGTTCTCAAATTTTTCTTCGAGAGAAAGTTCCTTGAGGCTATTGTTCCCGTTTTGTTCTTTTTCAAAACGTTCCGAAGACTTTTGTTCCATATTTGTTTTCTTAGAAATGTTCCCGAAAGTATTGTTCGCATTTTGTTCTTTTTCTGAACGTTCCACAAGGGTTTGCTCTTACATATGTAATTCCCATTGAGAATGTTCTCGAAAGTTTTGTTCTCATTTGTGTTAAAACACAAATGGAGAGACCAACAGTTTTACGCCGCCTCTGAAGGACATATGGATTTTATGAGAAGATTGTGCTTGGCAGAAATACATTCGAACCAGCGATCGTCTCGGCTTATCGATCGTCTCCTAAATACTTCAATTACATATATTTACTACATATAGTAGTAGATATTAAGTAATTCCTAAATGCCAAAGTTTCACTTTCGAGTATTTACCAACTGCTTAACATTCATTTCAAAAATCCTAATCTTCCACCCCGCTCTTTTAAATCAATTACATTCATAAATCTATAGAAAATCGCATCTATTTAACCATGCCTTTCACATGCGCAAGATTAAAAATTTAAACTATAAAATATGTTACAATACAATAACTGCCACTCCGTGGTTAGGCCATAAAAATACACAATCATGCAAAAGCGTGTGCCTCGCGAAGTCATTTCCCTTTGCTTTCTCAATACCATCAATCCGATCGCTGGCCACCTACTTAACAACAAAGCAATCAAAGCTGTTGACATTTTCAGGTTGCCGTCGGCATGAATGAAGTTGCAATCAAAATCATATGCACACACACTTACATATGTACATGCATTTTGCTGCCAATTGGTGTTGGCAGTTCATCGGTGACCGCGTGTCGCTTATTTCTTATCTCGGGTCACCAAAGATGACAAAAAAGGAACTAACAATGATACATTGACACGTGACTGTCGTTGTAGCTTTTCCAGCAACTTTCTAAAGTATTTATTACAGCAATACTAATCGCATGGTCCAACCCTAAAAGCAGACTATATTCGAGGATGAAAACCTGCATAGAAGTACCCTGTGGGGAAAATCTCTAGTTCTGAACTGGGGCGCTTCTAGT